CTACCCTGTTCTATAGGGTCACTATGTGTCGGAATTGAGTTGGTGGCATTGAGTGAACTGATATGTGCATTAGTGAGGATACACATTCATTTTCTGTAAGAGGATATCACAAATTGCATTATGTTAAATAAAAGTTTATTTTCTCGGTCATGAAACGACCAAGAACAGGGCACCTCTGGGTAATTCCAATACAGGCATGCCTCATTTTAGTGCACCTCATAGATAATGTGTTAGGCAGATTCGTCTAGAGAAACAAAACCAGTGACCTCACCTATGTATAAGAAAGACTTTTATATCCTGAAGTAGTCTGATGTCAAGGAGGCATCCCAGCCCAGTCCAACTCAAGTCCATAAGTCCACTGCTAGCCAGGGCCTTCTGCAGACGCATGTATCTGCAGACCAATGATGCAGAAAGGTAGGGGGATGCAGGAAGATCACAGGCCAGTGGGTGCCGAGTCGCGTGGATCCAGGGTTGGTGCAAACATGACAGGGACTCAACAGCACTCAAGGTGAGGTGGCCCATATGAGGCCTCTCCTGGAGGAGGGTGACAGAGTCCTAGTGAAGTCCCAGCAAGGAATAAGGGCGAAGGGGGGCGGGGGATTCCAGTATCTCTCTTATGAAAAGATTTACACTGCCCACAAGGTATCATCAGGCTGTGACCTGATTAACAAGTTGTACTCTAACACTCTATAAATGCAAGTTGACATAGAATCTAACTGCCACAGATACTGTGGTGCCCGCCCCCCCCCTTCCACCACCCCCACCCCCATTGAAGGTTTGTGGAAACCCTACCTTGAGCTAGTTGACAGGCATTATTTTCCAACAGCATGTGCTCACCTCATGTCTCTGGTCACAATTTGGTACATCTCTCAATATTTTTAATTTTTTTCATAATGCTATTTGTCTCAAGCTGTGTTCTCTAGAAAAGCAGGGTCCAACTTTTATACCAAGAAAATGGCTAATATAATTATAGAGTAAGTGAGTCCAGTCAATTTCAAGTGTATGGGCCAGATGTTAAACACGGGCTTCTCCTGAGTTGCATAGCTGCAGAGGTTGGTGACCCAGAAAGCAGGAAGCTCACAGGCTATGAATGGAGAGGTTAGCATCAAGGTCAGCAGATCAGGCTTGTGGCTACAGGGTCCAGTGAACTCAAGGACAAGAAGTCAGTTGGCAGGCTGATGATGGCTCCCAGGGTCCGCAGGTAATATGGCAGGCTGCTGGCTCAAGTCCAAGAAATTGAATGCCAATAAACCAGATTCAGGATCTAACCCCAACAAGAAGTAAGCAAGCTTTTATACACTGTGTCTAATGTGTGCCTGACCCAAGCCAAAGCATTTCTAATCCCCTCATATACCTATGAAATCTGGACAAGGAATGAGGAATACCAGAGAAGAGCTGGTGCCTTTGAATTATGGTGTTGGTGAAGAACATTGAATGCATATATCATAGCCTGAAAGAAGACCAAATGAATCTGTCTTGAAAGAAGTACACGTGAATGTTCCTTAGAAGCGATGATGGAGAGACTTTGACTTACTTACTTTGGACATGTGATTAGGAGGGACCAGTGTGGAGTGGGACACCATGCTTGAAAAAGTAGAGAATTAAAGATAAAGAGGAAGACCTTCCATAAGTAGATTATCACAGTTACTGCAACAAAGGACTCAAACATAGCAGAGATTCTGATGATGACACAGGATTGGGCAGTGTTTCCCCCCACCCCCACCCCGCTTGGCATACGTAGGTCACTATGAGTCAGGCCTCACAGAGGCACCCCTATTAGTAAGCAATGATTAAGATCTATGCACAAAGGCATAGACTGTCTGCCCCTAGTATCAGGAGTTCAATGCTTTTCAGTTCATGCTTCATCATTAACGTATTTTATCTTCTATTTCTGCTCTCTCTTTTATTTCCTTCTGCATGTGCTCTGACCACTTTCTAACATTGTTTTCTCTAAACATCATAATTTTCTGAAAGACTCTTAAATTGAAATTCAAGTCTCCATCATTCCTGTTCAGGCAAAGCTTCACAACATGCATCCACAGAGACTCCTGGCCAACTTGTAAACTGACTCCAGTGAGGTCAGGTGTCTGTCTTACCCAATCATCTGTGGGAGGGCAGGGCCTTTGGGTGTGGTAGCAAACAGGCACCCAGAAAGTCTGAGGAAAGAGCAGTTTCCCTTAGAAGAAGCTGTGGGCTTGGCAGGAAATTATAGACTTCTCCCCCTATTCAGGGCAAACAATAAGCAGTGGACAGCAATTTGAGTCTGACTCATGGGCACCCCATGTGTGCAGGAGTAGAGCGGTGTTCCTTATCACTTTAAAAGGCTCATTTCTGGGAAGTCAATAGCCAGGCTTCTCTTCCAAGATACTTTGGATGAACTGGAACCAACAGCCTTTTGGTTAGCCATGGCCCTGTTAATTGTTTCCACTGGGGTCCGCTGATTAACAATTCATACAGCCATGGGACTGCGGTTCCCAGATGTAGATATAGAGACAGCTGTCTCTAACGAGATGGGCTACTTTAGAATCTCTCAGCATCATTTGTAAATACAGAACTATGGGTTTCCCTCTCTACCTACAGAAGGAAAACCTTAAGGAGGAGGACAGGGAATATGAGGGAGCCTCAAAAAGTTTGCTGAAAAAAAAGAAATAAGATGATAATAACATTTTCCATGAACTTTTTTGAAGCCCCCTGTATGTGTGTGTTGTCATCTGGCAGCTCGGCATGCATTACAGCAAGAGTTATGTCATAAATGCACCAAGTTGGCAGATGTAGAATTTTCTACTACTGTGGTAAGTGTGAAATGTTGGGTCCAACATAAGCAGCTAAGTGAAGAGTAGGTGTGCTTACAAGTGTGTATACAAGTATTTTCTCTGAGTAACTTGAATGATAACAGCTTTGATCATCTGAAGGAATAGGGCTAAGGGGAGGATAAGAAGAGTCAGATTGAAGGCTAACAAGTCTTCTTCGTTCTTCACAACTTTTTCCTGGGTTTTCTAACCCTCTTGTAGAAGCATGGCTAAAAACGCATTTGAAAGCTACAAGCGCTGAGGTGAAGCACTGTTACCAAGATAAATATAAACATAAGTATATTTTAACTGATAGCTTCCATGGTTTACATAAATGGCCATCTGAGAGACAAGTAAGAACTAATTTTAAATCCAAATGTCATGAATATTTGGTGTAGCCAAATAAATTGAGAATTCACTTAATTTTATTTTTTCTCACCTATACTAGTTTAGTTTGGGAAATGTCACAAGGAGCACTGGTGGTATCATGGTTACATATTTGGCTACTAACTGCAAAGTCAGCAGTTCAAAACCACCAGCTGCTCATCGGGAGAAAGATGAGGCTTTCTACTCCTCTAGAGGTTACAGTGTCAGAAACCCATGGAGGCAATTCTACCCTGTCTTATAGGGTCACTATGAGTTTGAATTGACTCAACTGCAGTGAGTTTGAGGAATTATCATCAGCAGTACAAAAGAATTTGACATTTTAAAATAATACCAGAATGAATGACATTTTCCCAATATAACTGAGGAGACTCTTTCACTTTAATGGGGAAAAGTTTATATAAGCATTTGGCTATGAGTTAAAAGGAGACTTACCTAACATAAATATATCCTAATAATCAACGCTACTATAAAAAAATAAGCACACGACATCTCCTCTTGTAATGTGAGCTCAACCTGAGATTAAAGAGGTGGAGCAGGTGGAAGCTGGCCCCACCTGCCCCGGGCCACTCCTGGGCTATGCTCTATCTAGGGCATGTCTCAAAAGTTGGCTTGTTCACCTTAACCTGTTTGTCCAACGTACCCATGTATGATACCCTATGAAAGTCACACATTTGGGTGACTGAAGCTCTGGGTTGAGAAGCGTGCTTGCTTTTTATGAGAACTCATGGCCTGCTTGTTTTAAGACAAAGGGTCTTCACTTGGGCTCGTGTCCCTGTGAAGAAGTCTTCGCTTGAAGGGATTGGAGACCAAGCTTAGCTGATCCCTGTGTCTGCAGAACAGTTTCATTGAAGACGGTCCAATGCCCGAAATGGAAACCGAGCTTTAAAAACAGCATTGATGATTTTGAGGAATTTTGTATCTTATTCTGCCATAAGAGATAAGTCTTAAAAAATAAAGATGGCCCACTAACCAACCCCCTATCCAAATAAGCACACATCTCTACTGAGTATTATAGTCTTTATTACAAAACAGATATTTTAAATTGAGGTAACATTTCAAAGAATTTTAGGCAAAAATCAGTTGAATTCAATCTATACAATTTTGCTATGTGTAATTTATTTTTGCAAATATTCAGAGAACCATTTTTCAACCATTGCATATAAGCTGATTTTAGGAAAAATAAAGTAAACATGTTATATTTAAAGAATACTTTTTCTCTAAACCCTCTATACACAACCAGTAATCAATTACATGATATGTATGAGAATCCTACACCCCCCTCAAAAAACAAAGAACATAAGTTTTCTTTATCCAAAACGCCTTTTATGCCAAAATTCAAAAGTGTTTTCAGAAACTAAAATGTCATTCGTGTAAGGATTTACTATTGAATATCCCAAGAATAAAGAATATTTCCCTTCTTCAATGGAGAAATCCAACCCAAACCTCGACTCCATTGTGCTTAGCTCTGTGAACTCTCTGGTTCTTCTAGGCAAAGTTTGCCCCCCTTCTTCCATGTTCCCTTGGTACTTTATTCATAACTCCATTGTAGCATTCATCGCATCATACTAATTTTTATTTCCTATGTCCCATTTTAGATCAGAAGCTCCTCGGGAGCAAGAACCGGTATTAAACGGCTTTCTATCCCCAGCACCTAGCACAGTGCCTGTACGGCACATCACCGAACCTCAGCAACTGCTGGGCGATCGAATTAGGAATCACTTCAGTGGTCAAGCTACAGTCCTTCCAGTCTCATCGTGTGTCCTGGGTCCTGCAAGCCTACAGAACGGCGACACCCTAAAAATAAGTAATGTCCAGCAAGTCGTTTCCAAAAGACATGGCCTCCAGTTATCCTCTTCATAAAAGGATCAATAAATTATAGTTGTGATGATTTCCTAGCCTCCAATCCTCGAGGTTTCTTTATGGGAGAGCCGCTTCTAAGTCAAGTTGAGCTAATAGCCATCTTGGCAGTCGTTGTCATCTTGATCCCCGATGGGTTTGTTGTGATAGGCATCGACTGTTAACTTTCTGCTTTCCAGCTCAATGTTTTGAGACTGGCTTTCTTCTTCGCTGCTGGAGCGGCTCTCAGTGGAGTTGCTGTCTTCTGCGGATCTGCTGCTGTCCTGCGAATCGCTGGCACCCTCTTCTGCAGACTGGCTGTCCTGCTCCGCCTGGCTCTCGTCACTCTGGCTTTCTCCGGAGTCACTCTGAGACTGGAGGCTCTCCTGGCTCGAGCTGTTCTCATCTTCCACGGACTCCGAGCTGTCCTCCGAGGATTTGAGGCTCTCGTCGGAGTCCCTGTCAGCTTGGTCCTCTGTGGACTCGCTTTCTGAATTCCAGGGCTCGCTGTCTTCCTGGGCTTCCTCCGAATGACTACTGGGGGTTTGATCCGGGTTATCGCCCCGGGACTCGCTCACTCCCTCTTCCTGGGACTCACTGCTGTTTTCTTGCGATGGCAGGTCCACCTCTTCACTGGATTCACTGCTGGGGTCTTGCTCAGTGTGGCTGTCTTCCTGGGACGGGCTGTCGCTCTCGCTGTCTTCTTGAGAGTCGGCCTGGCTGTCCCCATGCGATGGGCCGACGTCAGCGCCCTTGGAGCTGCTGTGTTCTGCGGAGTCACTCTTGACCTCTTCCATGGTGTTGCTGTCTTCAAGAGCACGCCCGGCGTCTTCTTCGGAAATGCGAGACTTCCTGAAATGTTTCCGACTGGAGTAGTCCATTGACTGACTGCCCTCTGAAACCTGAGTGCGGCCTTGCTGGTCACCGTGGCCTTGGGGTTCTTGGGATTTGGTACGGGCGCTGTTCATTCGAGAGCTGCTTCTGTCACCCCGGAGGCTGTCTGGATCATCACTCTGCATTCCTTCATCCTCGAACTCGGCGCCATCCCCGCGGCTACTATCTCCTTCGCTGTTGCCTCCCAACCAGCGCTCCTCACTCTCACTCTCCGGGGGCGAGTCCGCTCCTTCCTGACTGCGCTCGCTGCTCTCACTGGTCGTATCGGGGGCACTGTCTTCCCCTCGTGGGGTGCTCTCTTCATTGGATTCTGTGGCGTCCGAAGAGTTTTCATCACTTTCCAGCCTCGCAGTTCCTCCTTGTCCTTCTTCAGGGCCGAGGCCATTGTCCTCCTCACCAAAAGTGTCATCTCCACTGTCATCTTCATCATTGTCTTTATCATCGCCTTCTTTGCCTCCACTTCTAGAGAGGCCACCAGCTGGTGTATACATATATTGGCGATCATCAGGACTTAGGCCCTCCTCTGATTCAGCGCTTTCACTAGGCCCTTCGTGTTCCTGGAAGTTGAAGGTAACATGTGGTCAGAATTCCGGGGACTGACTACTGGGGCTACCACCTAGTCTAGGCCCTTTCTGCTTTCGCCTTCTCATGTCCGGCCTCTAACCCAGGATCAGCTTCACTGCTCAACTGCATCTCTGCAAGAGATTAAACCACCAAAGGAAGAGGAGCCCCAACTAAGTTACTTCACGTTTATCAACCCACTTTACTCATGGCTGGAAACATGTGGTTCAAAATGCTTTATAAACTTCACATTTATGAAATTCAAGTCATGTTTAATTTAATTTCTTTAAAGGAAATTTTCATTTAAAGGAGAATTTTTTGTGAAATTAGGGAGTTGCTCACTGACACTCATTCCACAATCCTCACTCATTTATTTGTTGAGTTTAAAATAGAGTTTTTTAAAACAGGGAAAGGGTGACCTTAAAATGACCTGTAGCTATTTTTTTCTAATAAACTCTGAAACAAAATTTATTAGACCCGAAGGATAAGCTCTTTATCTGAAATGAAAGTGTAATATTTTAAAAATTGAATGTGGTGATGATTGTGTAACCCTTCTTAATATGGAACTATTGCATTGTGTGCTACGTGACTTATATGTCATTAAGACTGGTTTTCAAAAACCTATAATGTTTCAATGGGGTGCACACCTCACTCAAGCCATGTTGACACTTCATGTGTACAGCTGAGTAGTTCATGAAAGTTTCCGAGTCATATGACCACCCGGGCAGCTTGGTTCTAGGGTGAGGTCAGAGCGAGGACCAGCCTGAATAGCAGGTGTTTGCGCTCTCCAGATACGGGAAGATTCTGAGTCTTCATTCTCCACGAGTCCGATCTGGTCGCACTAGCACACGCTGCAACTAGAGCAGGCTTTTGTCTGCTTCCTTTTGCCACATGTCTCCACTGATGAAATCCGAGTTTTAAATTGGCAAAATGAGATGATGCCATCTCTTCCCCCTGCTGGAATTTTGCACTGGTGTACTGAAATCTGAGGTTGGATTTAGCTTACCGCACCCCACTCGACCCAGATCAACCCTTTCCAAGCGTGACCTGCTCCCTCATGTGCGACTTCAGAAAACACTGAGGAATCAATCATGAAGTCCCCGGGAGAGCTGTTCCCCAATCTGCTTTCAAAAGTCTTCCACACGCCTTTGTTAAATCTTTGGTAAACAGGGATAAGAAGCCCAAGAAAGTATCTTCCAACTCCAGCTAGGTGTAGAATATGACAGAAAGGAAAAGTCCAAGAAAAAACCTGGTCCGCCAACTTCTAGAACTCGCACCGGACTGAATTTGGCTAACAGGATAGCAGGAAAAGGAAGGGAAAGAAGTTGTTGGCTTTTTGTTGTTTCCACAGATGGTATTCACATTGTAAATGTTTAAGGCAGCTTTGGGTGATGTTTTTAGGTTCTTGTTGAGGTCTATTTAAACTTACATGAGCAATCATAAAATTTTATGATGACATGTTTGAAAAACGAATGTGACTTGAATAGTGGCCTGAGAGGACTGGGCGGTGGGGAGGGGGGGGGTGTAATAAAAAAACCTAAAGGATTTCTTATAATTCTGACACCTTGTTTACCAAGAAAAAAAGACACAGTACTTAAAGAAAAGAGAGAGAGACTTCATTTGAAGCTGGTTGCTTACACAACCTTAAGGAAATCTAATATAAGAAAAACAGAAAGTAACATTTCATCTCAGAAAATGGGTGTGGGGAAGCAAAAAAAAAATGCAGTTTCAAGCACAGAGAACTAAGTCAAGTGTGGTCATACGTCAGTTGCTGACTACAGTGGTTCTGGATAGCTTGTCTTTCTCACTCAGTGGTCACAGATGGTGGAACTAACTTGTAGTAAGAGTTACCCCCAAAGCAATTGTTTCGTTCACTCTTGCTCAGGGCTCTCCCTTTCCTCTCGCCAACAGGCTTCTTCCCATGGGATGCCCAGGCCTAGCAGGTACTTCCTGTTTGCCAGAACATTTTTCCTCACCTCCTTTGAATGGCTCCAATAATATAAGCAGCATTCTAGAACGATGGATGTGTGGTTCCTTTTCCGCCAACACAGTTAGTGGCCATTTATGCCTGTGTGTGCGTGTGTACGTTGTTTTGTTTTTTAACTAAGAAAGACACATCGCCATGAGTTCTACAGTCCAGCCCGATGATAAATTTGGAATGAACACCTTGTCCGAATTGTCTCCATTCCCTTTTCCCTTCTTATTTTGTGGAACAATTTCGCCAGCATAACCAATGGTTAGAAAATATTATATTTAGAATTGTTGCCAGGTCATTTAATCTAACATCATTTCCTCCCTCCCCTAAGTAACCTGAAAGTTCAGAAAGGTCTGCTTAATTACCTGTTCCTCTGAGCTAATTTTACTCTCTTCTGATGACTCACTGCTCTCCTAAAAGAGGGAGAAAAAGGCTGTTTATTTTTCTTTTATGAAATTGCTCAGAAAAGGAAAAACAAAACAAAAAAAAAACGATGCATATCAATGACATTTGGTTTGGATACACTACTTTCAGAATGACATAAAGTATATGGGAAGCATGTTAAAATCAAATTATTTAATGAGACGTTTATGACAGGAATAAAGGAAATCGTTACCAGGGGAGGAGTTGGTGTCTGAGCCAGCTGAGTCTGCAGAAAAGGAAGGAGTATAAGTTAGTTTTTCTCCGAGAGCATCCACATTGCGAACATATAAGGTAGCTTTAGGTGGTATTCTCAGCTTCTTGATGAGGTAGTTTTAAATTTACATGAGCAGTAATAAAATTTTATGATGACATGTTTGGAAAAAATAAGTGTGAGTTGACTAGTGGCCTGTGAAGATTTGGGGTGATAAAAAGCCTAGAACATTTTTTACAATTCTGATACTTCATTTACCAAAAATGTATACTTTATTTGAAGCTGATATATATATCCTTAAGGAAATATAATATAGTAAAAACGCAGAATCCAGATTTAAGTCTGAATTCGTGTGATCCACTCTCAGGTTGAGTACTAAAAGAACTGTGTTCAAGGAATTTTCTATATTCTAGGAAAACAGTTCTTTGATCAACCTTAGTGAGCTTGGGTATTTCCCCTCACCTATCTACCTTCTGTTGTTGGTTTTTCTAATCTACAAGAAAATTGTCATTCAGTGTGCTCTGAGGATGATAAAAGTTAAAATCTATGGAAGCATCTTGAAAACTATTCAAAGTGATATAAACAAAAGAAATTTGTGATTAAAAAAACCTTACACAATTCAGCAGGGGTCAGCATTGACTCCTAACTCATGAAGATAGATCACTGATCATGTAATGTCAAAGTTAGTCCTTCACTGTGTATAGTTTGGGTTTGGTTTACTGTCTCCAGTCTTGCAAGAGCCATTCTCCCTGTGAGTTGGCACTGCCTCAATGGCATCTAACACCACCAGCAGCTATGGTGACCTCTGTGAGGACAGCGAGGGCCCTTGTGTGTCTCCAGGCCAAGAAAAAGGCACCCCCCCCCCCCCAATGTGAAAGTCAAGCATGGAAGGACTGCTGTTGGCAGATCTTCAAGATGTCTCCCAGAAATGTCTCCTTTGGAGAAACAAGCTATAATCACTTGAAGTCTTTGACTTGGGAATGCAGATCTATTCCATGAAGCAGCTTCCATTCTATTCAAATTCTTTTCAGGAAGTGTGGAGCGAAGAGGAGCGAGACAAGGGTACTTTCAGCATGCCAAGAGCGGGAAACACCCATCTGTGCTACTCCTAGTGGAATGAGAGGGAAGATCTGTAGTCGATGCTTTTAGAATAACCAGCCTGGGTTCCCTGGTGGTGTTTGGGCTGTTACACATGGTAACACATTGGGATGTGATCCACATGGTCGGCAGTTTGGAACCACCAGCGGCTCCAAGGAAGAAAGACTTGGCTTTCTACTCCAATAAGCAGGTAAAGTCTTGGAAACCCACAGGGTTCGCTATGAGTCAGCATTGACTTGGTGCAGTGGGTGGAGTTGATGGCAGTGGTTTTGCTCTGTTGTGCCCGGGGTAGGTATGGTTGCGAACTAACTCGATGGCACCTAACTACAACATGGCTACCTCTAAGGAAAGTCCATCTAACAGTTAATCTGGAGTCTCTGACCTGGCCTCTTCAGGGGCACCACCCCACCTCGAACCTCTGACATCATCGAGGCTACTGCCCAAATCTTTAGGCCCAAGCTGCATCACATGCAAAATTCAGCCAGAAATAAGATAATGAACAAAATGCTGTCACTCAGCATGTGATTTCAGCCCTTGTTTTTGGTGCCAATGTGGAAAATTTACTGCCTTAGGAAACCTGGTCCCGTCCTGAAAGGGACACAACCCTCTGGTAATGAATGCTGATTCTGAAGGAAGGAAGGTTCAAAGCCTGAGTGTAGCACTTGTTAACCATATAGCCTAGTAGACTAGGTTACTCTCTTATCTCATCTGTCATTTGGGAATAAAATAACACCTAATCTTCATAAGCCTATTGTGAAGATTAAGAAATTAACACATATAAAGCACTCAGAATTGTGTGTGCCAATAGTGCTTATGTTACTAAGAGTAAATAACTCTTGTTTTCTGAGAATCCACGCTCGGTAAACATAAGCTATCATTCCAAAGACTAATATCCTCTCATTCTTATCTCCTCCCTCATCTCATGGAAGTTTGACCTCTTGCCTTCGTGGTGTATGTTATCAACCAGAGCCTTCCTTTGAAAGCAGTTTTCTGGTCTTTGTCTTTCCTGGATAGCCTTGCTTCATTGTTATCCATCCCCTGCCTGGCCCTATACATCAATTATAAGAACAAAGCTGGAAACAGAAAGAAAAAAAGGCTGCTTTACCAAATTTTACTACTAAGTCGAAGTTGATGTGTATATAAACTAAATCATCCTTTATGAGCCAGGAAGTATATAGGCCCCACTACCTATATCTGCTTATGTGTTAGTCTATTATTGTACTCATGAAATCATTAGCAGATTCAATATTCCCAATTGGGTTATAATAATAACATAGTAAAACCCAAAAATAATTTTCAAAAGAATCATATTTATGCATACCTTCCATTCTTCGGAGCTCTTGGAGTCAGTATTTTGATACCTGGCTACCTGGGAAAGTGAGAATCCCTAGTCAATCCACAGTGCAATTTTTTAGGCAACAGTTATTAGCACTTTTCATATTTGGTACTGCACGTGTGCCACAGAAGTGCATTACATAGGGTTTTCAGTGGCTGTGGCCTTTTGGAAATAGATCACCAGGCCTCTCTTCTGGGGTGCTTCGGGTTGGACTTAAATGTCCAACCTTTCTGTTAGCAGCCAAGTGTGTTAACCACGTGCCTCACCCAGGGATCCCTACTTGGAAGAAATGGTAGTTCAATTTTTGCAGGCAGCAGAATCGCCTGGAGGCTTTTCAAAAACAAGATCACCCTGCCCACCCCTGAAGATTCTGGTTCATTAGGTGTGAGGCAAGACCCAAGAAGGGGCCTTTCTAACCAAGTTCTAGTGGCTGCTGCTGCTGCTGCTGGTTTGGGGAGGACACTTTGAGAATGACTATTGACAGGAGAGAAAAATGAGATTCTGAATGGCACGGGCGACAAAAATCAGGGATAACTTGGGTGGTGTTTTACAGAGAATGGGTCCTAAGAAATCACTATTTTCATCTAATAGAATGTAGACATCATGATTGCAAAGTAGAACGGCAGCAAAAAAAGAGGAAGGCCCTCGACCTGATGGACTGACACAGGGCTGCACATGGACTCCAACGTGAGAACCCCTGGGAGATGGTGCGGGGCAGGACGGAGGGCAGTTGGGCGTCAGAACTGATCCAGTGGCATCTAATTAACAAAGAACGTGGATAGCCTAGAGAACATGAGGAACGGTTTCATTCCGTCCTATCAGGACACTGTGGACCAGAATCATCAGCTCTACAGCAGAGGGATAGGGCGTAGGCAGCCACTATGGTTCTTGGCAAATGAACGTTGTGAGGTTTTAGGTATAAAAGGACTTTTCCGATACATCTAGCAATACTTACTGGAAGTGCACAGGATAAGCTCCAGAGGAACACAAACAGGATGCTGGTCTTCATAGCCAGATGTGATCCTTCTACCTGGGATAAAGAACATGAGATGTTTTCTTCCATGCGAAAGAAGTGTATACTAGCTTCACTTTTCAAGTTTTTTTTTTCCATATTTACAAAACAACTCACTCCTAAGAGAAAAATGGAAGGTATTTCAATGAAGAAATCATCTAGCAGTTCTTCAGTAACACTTACTCTACATGAAAGGAAGAATAAAGAAACAGGAATGATGATGAGCATAATTAATGCCATGACAGAAATGACCAGTGTTTCATTACCTGCTTACCACAATCATACAAAGACTGAGAACAATTTAGCCCAAAGAAACAGAAATAAAGAAATCTCCGACCACTCATTTCCATAATAATTTTGCAGCTTGATGTACCAAAGCAACGTGACAAATTTATTACCCCAAAATCTAATTTATTGTCACTATGTTAAGCATTTATCTTTACACATGCACATACAGAGAGAGAGATACTTCTAAATCACCGTCACCATCATATACTAATAATGTCTAGACCAAATATACTGTGTTTGCATTTTTTTCCTTAGTCTGGGAGAGATGCACTTTCACAGGCTCCATATCAGAGCTCAGAAAGCTCCTGATAGCTACTGTGCGCCACTTAGTCATACATTATGCACGACTGGGCTAAACTCTGTGCCAGTCAAGGCTCTGGGGGAGCTGGAGTCGATTAGAGGGTTGGGACACCCGTGTGCATCACGCTGAGCGAAGCACGCCAAACCTAGCCCTGCTTTCCTGCAGGGTGGCTCCATCTCACACTTCAGAGACTGGTGATATTTTGAAAGGAAATAAGAATTCTATATCTAAAAATAGACGTACTCAATTCTAATGGGGAACGCTCTTGAAATGCTTTCAAAGGAAATTAACTTGCCTTGAGGTAATTGGACCTTGTAGCTGCCCTGACACACTTGGCAGACAATCCACACAGTTTGCAGAAGATCCTGCAAGTTTATTTCAGACTTCACTTAGGTTAATTGATTTCTTAAGACGTACTGGACTACTAACAAGAGATCTCAGCCCACAGTTCTCAACCCTTACTATATATTAGTATCATCTGGGAAGCTTTAGATAGGCAGATAGATGTTAGATAGATGATAGATAGATAGATAGATTAGATAGATAGATAGATAGATAGATAGATAGATAGATAGATAGATAGATAGATGATAGATAGATAGATGATAGATAGATAGATAGATAGATAGACAGATAGATGTTCTAATGCATAATTCTATTCAGATTTAATATAAATCAGTTACCTGGAGGTGAGCAAAGGAACAGGTTAGACTGAGTGCCCCCTAAGTGATTTTTAACTCTAGATCTACAAAATGAATATAATTGCTCAATCAACTGTCTGAAACATCAGGCTCGTGAAGTCATCTAATCTTTTAAAATATATATTCCAGGGGAAATGGATAAAGATAAAGAAAACCAAGACCATCCCTCAGTTGAGCTCTACTCTCATACAGCTATAAAAAATATCATCATCATTCTCTGTTCATTTTTTTAAAGAGATATCCTGATTTTATTTGTTTCAAGCTTGAACAAGATGGGTTTCTTTTGCTGTGTACCGGGCACTTGTAATTCTTAGAAAAATGTTTAGCACAGTCATCTCTAAGTATACAAGTATAGTTCTCTAAAAAGGCCTCAAAGCTACCCACAGCTACGGCGTTGATTTCAAATCACAGTGACTCTTTAGTACAGAGTAGACCTGCTCCACAGGGCTTCTGGGACTGAAAATCTTTACAAACAAGGGAACCGCTATAGCTTTGTCCCACAGCATGGTTGGCTAGTGAGTTTGAACTGCCAACTTGGAGGTTAGCAGCCCAACAATGGGTAAGCCATGCCCCAGCAGCACTCCTTTCTAAAGGACCAGATGTTGTTAAAACCTAGAAAACTTTGGTTCTTTCTCCTAAACAATGTTAAACATTTTTCCTACCCAGGGGTATACTCTATTTTATTCTCAGATCTAATCCAGCCCCGAATAATGATCTTTTTTTTGGTTGCTTTTTCAGTCCTGAGGTAACACCAAAATGCTCAAAGCTTGTACAAATCATTGTCATTTACCCTGAGATTAGAAACACTAGATGATGTCAGTTATGGTGTGGGCTATAACAGATATATTCTATTAGAATGGAAATGTGTGATAGAACTGCAAATTATTTCTTTAAAGTCCAGATTTAATTACTGGATTGGCTGGGAATGGAGGACTCCCTGAGACTATTGCCCTGAGCAACTCTTCAAACCTTGAAGCAAAACAAGCCCCTGAGGTCATCTGTTAGCTAAGTCATAGGTCGGCTTACAAAATAAAGCCTATCACTGGTGAGCACTTTGGTTGTATTAAAAAAATAACCGAATGAGACAAAGCAGTCAACAATTACTTTAAAGCAAAGATGAGAGAGACGGTAAGAGGACAGGGGAACTAAATGAATGGAGACGCAACGACAAAAATGGAAATAAAGAGAATGTTCATACATAGTGGAAAGTGTCACAGTGTCGAGAACAATGTGTGTCTAAATCATTGCATGTGAAATTAAACTTAAGTGTAACTTTCCCTGAAGATAAAATACATTTAAAAATATTTTGTGATCATTGTGGTCCCTCCTAGTTTGTGTTATTTTCTTTTTTCTAATCATACTAAGCTCTTATGTTTACTTCGTAAGCAAGGGACAGTTTCTCCAAATGTGCTGCCTTCAAAATGAGGACCTAATGTCGGGGGTTTAAATGGAGAGAAAATGTTTTGAGAAACGATGTACAAATGCGCTTTACACAATTGATGTGTGTATGGATTGGGATAACAGTTGTATGAGCCCCTAATAAAATGTTAAAAAAAAATTAAAAACCAAACTAATCAAAAAAAAATAATAATAATATAATGCCAACGGTTTCAGGGTCACAGATCAAGTGAAAATCAGGCAGGCCATTTTAATTTTCAAAGCAAAATTTAAGCAGCGTGGTAACTTTAAAAATATCTAAAACTAGTGAATACCTTAGCCTCGATGAAGGATCAATAAACATTGAGTTCTCCTCTTGTGTTCCCTCTGTCTCTCATGAAAATAACAAAAGAGGCGGGGAGATGATACCATGTCTTTTTCTAAACCTATGTATGAAGAGTCTACCAAGGGTGCTCCCAGTGTCAAAGTTACTTAATCACTCACTGCCATCGAGTGAACTTTAACTCATCACCACCCTATAGGGCAGAGTACAGCTACCCCTGGAGATTTCTGAAACTGTACATCTTAACAAGAATACAAAGCCTCACCTTACTTCTGTAGAGTGGCTGGATGGTTTTGAACTGTTGACCTTCCGGTTACCACCTCCAAATTTAACTTCCTACTCCACCTGAAACATAAGAAAGATGCACTATTGTCCTCAGTCTTTTGGAAATGCCAGTTATCAACCTAATTGACAGCAATAATTTCCCAAATACAAATATGGTATTCCACTACGACTTGGAATCATCTCGGCGGCTCTGAGTTTGAGTGTGGAATCTCAAGCATTTCTTCGCTGACTGGAAAAGGTCATTTCCAAAATGGCAATACGAACTCTTCTGAGATTCACAGCACAGAGCTGTGTTAGAAAGAGGAGCCCTGGGGCCACACTGGGCTGCTAACCATAAGGTCAATAGTTTGAATCTACCAGCTGCTTTGTACTGCTGAGAGATGAGGCTTTCTACTTCTGTAAAGATATGCGTCTTCCAAAACTCACAGAGGGAGTTCCGCCCTATTCTACAGGGTGGATAAGAGGTGAAATCAACTCAGTGGCAGTGAAATTTTGTTGTTGTTTGTATTAGAAAGACTTTTGACTTCTTAAAAATAATAATAATAGGATTTGGAGGCAGGGATGCATTTCTGATTTCAAATAGAGCCAACACTGTGGACTCCTGTGGCAGAGTGGTCATGTGTTGACCTGCGATCTGAAAGACCTGCTGAAGGAGCCATGAAAAGAGGACCGTGTCTCCTGTCACATATCTGTTTAGGACAGTTTGCAGATGTCTGTCCTAGCTTATTCTCAGAAAATGCTTCCTCATCTCCCTCGGAGCTTGCACTCGAGCGCAGGATGTCCTTCAACTGCAGACAGTCAGGACTGTGGGGAACGGCTGCACACAGTGTTCCCTCGGAGCAGTGAACAAGAGCAGTACGTGCTGATGTGGAACTCTGTCAAGGCTATGAGAAATTCAAGCATTGGAATAGGGAACATATCTGGGAACACTGCCAGTACTTTGTCCGTCCTTTGGGGTTGCAGTCTTGTACTGTCTCTGTGTGTGTGTATGCTTTGTTCTGTGTTCATTTTCTCCTCTTCAAGGAACCGCAACGTTACATTTGGCGTCCGAACAGGGACCGAGGGAAGTAGGGAAAACCGAAAGGGAAGCACCTCTGTGGTAAGCGGTAATCACCAGAGGAACTTTCGGGGAAAAAGATGGGAAATTCCATGGAACACGAATACCGAAAGTTGATAAAAGGACTTCTCCATTCTACGGGGGTGGAGGTTAAAGATAAATTATTGAGAGAATTATTTGCGCATGTACAACAACATTGTTTTTGGTTTTATAGTCAAGAAAAGGTTCAATGGAATTCGCAAGCATGGCAAGTGGTAAAAACATTACTGCACTGCTCATGAACGGGGACAAACTATGAATTTAAAGCTATGGTCTTTGTGTAGTGCTATTACTCAAGATCTACAGTTAGTAGAGACAGACCCGGAGAAAGGTGAAGAAAGTGATACAGATAGGAAAGAGAATGGAATCCAAAGGGAGGAAGTGGAGTATGCAGTGGTAGCTGAGGAGGAAATAGGTCCAGAATTAACGAAGAAAGAATCAGATGATGTGGGAGAAGAAAATGATGCTCAAGAGCTTATAGGATTGCTGAAACAAACGCTTAAATGCCAGTCGGCTTCCAGCCCTTCTGCTCCTCTTTGCCCTCAATTATATCCTGCTACGCTTCCCCCTCCGCACCGCCAGTTGCTGCTCCATTGCTTGGAGCTA